CTAGTCGAATCTCGAAGCCCGGCGAGGCCAAGTTGCGGTTAGGTGCGTAAAGTGGGGCTCGGGCATTCAGGCGAGGACAGGACTGAGTCAGCAAGGTAGGTAGTAGGTAGGTAGGTAGGTAAAGTCAGGCAGCGTCCCTATACAGAGACAGCCCTATCCGCACCAGTAGACTGCGAGCGCGCCTACACTGCGGAACACCTATGCCACAGCCGCTGCGATATCCCAGTTCATGCGCATGTCACACATCCCTGGGGTCTCACGTCAATGACATAGGCATGAACACAGGGGTCACGGAGGCGTACCATGTGCAATCAACGTTGTGTTCAAGCTGGTACCAGCATCGGTGTCGCAGTCAGGAGTCGGAAGGTGTGGTGAACAAAACGGGCGAATTTCGCTACCAGCTCTGGTGGCCCATCGACCACTGTCTGGATGAACGTCTTGTCTTCCATGATAGGCAGGGAGGGCATCAGTTGACGCGCCTCACTGTCAAACACCTCCCGCATTCGCGCTAGCTCGTCGTTTCCTGTGCAGTGCAGCATGATGTGGACTTCGTCCTCCACGTTCTGTACGCACCGAGTCGGGGCTGTGTCAGAAGGCGAGGACAAGACTGTGTCAGAAAGGCGAAATGGGGCTTGAGCACAGCGCAGGCGAAATGGCGCCTAAGCATGCAGGCGAGCGGAGCCCGGGCATGAAGGCGAAGAAAGACGGAGAGGTCGTTGAGCGCAAGTCGTAGCCGAGGGCGTACATCAACAGCCCAGCAGCGTACATCGACAGCCCAGCAGCGTACATCGACAGCCCAGCAGCGTACATCGACAGCCCAGCAGCGTACATCGGAAGGCAAAGAGCGCACATATGAGCTGCGAAACTGACAGTCGAATGCTGCCCATGTTCGATGCAGCGACCTGGCGAAGTTTTCGACTTGGCACTTGCTATGCAATTGTCCTATTTGGGAAGTGGGGAGATGAACCAGGGGGGCGCAGAGACGAGAATAGACTCGCAAAATGGGAAAAAGCTGGGGTCAATGAAGGAAGTAGACCGGCGTAGTACCTTTTGTGGGGTAAATTGCGTGGAAGACAGAAAGCAGACGGGGAAGAGGGAAGGCAAGCGGGGGAAGACAGAAAGCAGGCGGGGAAGACAGAAGGCAAGCGGGGAAGACAGAAGGCAAGCGGGGAAGACGAAAGAAGGAACTGTATGCAAGTCGTCCGCCATTGAGCCCAAATTGAGCGCTTGAGCAGGCGTTGACAGAGGCCATGCTTGGGGAACGGACCCCTATCCCTCTCCGACCAGTGATCGGAGCCGTGGTCGACCTCGATCGAGGCGGTCAGATCGTTAGGCGGCCTGGAATCGCGTCAAGATGGGCGTCGTCGATCATAGCAAACGAGCACGACAGGGCCTCGCTTGCCGTTGACTGCTTCCGAGACATAGGCTAGAGCGGGACGTTGAGCAGAGAGGCCAGAACCGGGCGTCCTGCAACGCCTCCCCTCATCTGACAGTTTACCCTCTCGTTCGATCGCGGCTCCTTTCATCACAGCGCCTCCTCTCTGGGTGTGGCGCATCACCAACGGATGATTTTGCGGCGCGTACGCCTTGGAAGCGAGTCCGAGACGCGCTAGAGGCGATCTCGAGACGTGCTGGAGGCGAGCTCGAGACGCGCGCGAGATGACGTTGCGAAACGCGCGCTAAGGCCGCATTGAAGACCGAGAGAAGAGTTGATGACGACGAGAGCAGGGACAGGGCGGGACTTCGGGCGACGGGGGGCGGGGGAGAGGCGGTGCTGGAGGCGGTGAATCGCAGGCACGGGCGCCGCGTTCGGTGCCGTCGGACAATTGAATTCAATAAACTGACGCACTGGGGGGCAATGCGGGGTGGAGACGGGGCAAGCAGCGTCGTCGGCGCACGGCGCGACGGATCTCGTGCTGGCTACGTGGATCCCGGAGACCAGCACAGAGCACTGAGAATCAAGTCTTGCGATCAGGCCGGTTGAAAGGCGTCCACAGAGGTCGCTGATTGGAGAGGCCCGCAGTCTGAGTTCAGTTTAGAGTGGTTGAACTATTGAGAGTCGGAAAGTAGACACCACTGGTCCAGGGCACAGGCGGCCCTCCTAGGCGGCGGCCCGGCGGTGTGGGCGGCTGTCTGAAAATTTGTAGAGTCCACGAAGAGTCCAGATGTGTATTTGTATGCGCAGAGTCTAGGCGGCTTCCGCCGTCAAGGCAACGAGTCGCCAAAAGTATTTGTAAATGTTTGGGTTGTGAGGTCATGCAGCGGGACTCCAAAATCTCGTGGCTTCTCCAAAACGGTCATGAGCAAACTCCATCGGCGGTCCTCGTCCCATTCTTCCTTGTCATCGCCGCCCACGACGACCGCAAAGCTGCGCAAACCGTCGCTCATGTCGCCGACGACGCTCACCACATATCCCCCGCTGGCCTCACCTCACCACCTTCCCAAGCGCCATGCGTCTTTTGACAGCCCGCGCGAGGTCCCGCTGCCCTCGCCTCAGCTCAACCGCGACCGCGAGCAGCAGTCCATGGGCTTCCCGTTCCCAAAGGTCGCCAACCAGCCACCGGAGCCCCAGCCCGTGCCGCCGTCCGCGCAGCCCGCAGACGCGGGCCCCAGTCGCCGCAGCAGCCAGACAGAAGAACACGACTCGCTTTCAGAGTGGACGGACGTGTCGTCGAGCTTGCCCGCGATGCACTCGCCCGCGCAGGTCTCGTCGCCTGTCCACCCGTATCCGCGCCCGTACTCGCTGCCTGATGGCCCGCAGGGCGCCCGTCGCCAGACTGAACTCGCGCCCGAGCGCAAAGCCGCAGGGCCCAGCGCCGTCGATCGCAGCTCCTCCGCAAGTCTCCCGCTCCCGATGCAGATCCCGTACAGCACGCTGCCCAGGCTCTACGGGCAAGCAGCGCCGAAGGCAACGGCATCCGCACCACCACTAGCAGCGTCGCCGCCGCGCGCCCAGCCGCCCTCAGCATTCACATACCGTGAGAAACCGCCGCGCTCGATGCTGGACGACGAGCTCGATGAACATCCAACGGCCATGCCGCGTGCCGCCGTCCTCGCCGCAACCGTGTCGCAACCACCCGAACCGCCCAAGGTTCTGGAGACGGCGCCGGCGCCGGCACTAGCGCCCTCTACAGCATCACTGCTCACCCGTGCGAGCACGGTATCCGATCCCAGCAACAGTCGCACTGCCCCGCCCACACCATCCGCCATCGCAACGTCGCTGTCCACACCACCCTCTGTCACTCACGACGCTCGCAATTCTCTGCCTAACGCCCATCTACCATTCCTTTCTCATGCTCCGCCACCCGCCGATAGCTGGATCCAGGTAGAGACCATACCCACCGAATACCGATTGCACATACGGCTTCCAGGCTTCCAACGGGATGGCATGTACGTAAACCCATGTTCTCATACGTCGCAGTACTAAAGCACCCTCATATAGCACGCTTGCGACGAAGAAGCGCCGTATCCTGCACGTCGTGGCCGACTCTTGGGAGAATGGCGGTGGCCACTTTGAGCGACGGATATCCTTTGGCTACGACGCCGATCTGGTTCAGGTGAGTTTATCGGCTTTCCGATGTTGTGCGAGTGCCTGCGGGCTCGCTTCAAATGTCCGTGCGTAATTGACCGTGCTCATGCTTCTCTTACAGGTTCGCGCAGAGTTTGATGGAGAGATGCTCCGTGTCGTGATACCAAGACGCATGCCTCCGGGCAGTCAGCGTAGCACAATGGGAATGGCAAGATAAGCTCAACCTACCGGGTATCAGATGCGCGCCGACAAGTGAGGGAGGAGAAAGCGTCCATCATCCTGCAGCACAGGCGAAGTTACACCAAGGGAAAGGAAAGCCAGAGGGCGTGTCTAACAATCTCGTCGGCACCGAGCAATGCCAACGGCTGTCATCCCCGTATGCGATCGCCGCCGCTCACCACAACTCCTGCGCATCACGCCAACGGGCACCCATCCTGCCACACGACGCTGACCATCGCCGGCCTGAGACCGACGATGCCAACGTTGTTGCCTAGGCAGGTTGTCGACGGCTTTGTGGCTGGGCTGACAAGCGGCAACCTGTGTTGCGCTGCTCCGAGCCGGCGTCGCGAACAATCCCGATCCTCTCCACCTGTCCGATCACCCGTCGGCCGCCACCACCCTCCTGCCAAACCCTCCGCCCCGCCTGCAAAAAGTACACTACCGCACCTGCGGCACGCTAGCCCTGCCCACCACTACCTTACACCGACCTACACATCCCCACATCGCAATGCAACCATTATTTATGCGCCTTCCCCGCCCCACCATCCGCCCATCCTGCTAACGCGCGCCTACTCGGTCTATCGCCTCTGCCACCTCGCCTGCACCCTACAAATCGCAACCTCCCGACTACAAATCCCATCCCATTCGGCCTACAAATCGCACTGCATCCGGCCCCTACAAATCGTCGTCCTCGCTACAAATCCGAACCACCACGGCCCGCGCGCGGGGCGTGCATCGCATCACCGTTCTCGCATTATCGTTTCCCATTCTCACTCGCATTCATCCATCCATCTCTCTCTCTCTCTCTCATCGTCGCTCTTCGTTGCGTCTACTGCACCGCCCGTATGGTGAAGCATACCCTCTCGACGCGACACAGCACGTACATATATACATCATCCATACAACATACCACCCACGACCCCACGACCACTTATCTATTAATTCGGTGCCATACATAGCTTACTTGTACGTACATTACTTACAGCTCTTGACGGTGCGGCGGGCGTTCTGGGGAGGGCGCGGGCCCTGCCGTTGTAGTCTTTTCGTCACAAGGTTACCCTGGTACAAAGGAAGTTGGAATGTAATTATATGTAGTACTTACTCTATACAGTACATCTGGAAGTTCAAAAAGCTTGCGGTTGCTGATCTGGAAGTTCAAAAAGCTTGCGGTTGCTGCAGAGAAGTAGTCTTCGAGTGGGTGAGGTCAGGACAAGCTTCGGGAAGATGGTCATGAGCGGGAAGTGGCAAAAAGTCCTTCTTGCCTGGTTCGAACAGGCGACCCCCAGATGTGGATCTTATAACCGATTACAGTCTGATGCTCTTCCAACTGAGCTAAAGAAGGTTGGAGGCCGACCTCTTTGACGGGTCAGGAGCGTTCGTGCACTCGTCGCACAGCCTGATCATACTGAACAGCATCATCACTTGCTTCTTGCCATCACTTGCTCTCTCCTCTCGTCAGATATGTCTTGGTCAGGGTAGGCAACTTGCACAACGCCTATCCAACCATCGCTCACCGCGCACCAGATTCAAGAAGTCCGTGAACCGCGCGGGTACCACAGTATGTCCGCATGCATCGTATGAGGCGGTGGTGGGCTGATGCCCCGCGCAGCTGCTCCAGAAGACCGGCCAGGTCGAGCGTACTATTGACCGCGAGTTCGCGGATGAAGAGGCGAAGTACCGCACGTACGTCGCGCGCTCGTGCATCTGTTGCGGGACCCATCGACTGAGCCGCGCCCCAGATTCGAGAAGGAGACACAATCGCTGCAGAAGGATGCCAAGCATTACTGGGATGCTATGTACGGTGCGTGTATGCGCTTGTCTAGTCAATGCAGAGGCTGACCTACCGCCCGGCTCGCAGGGATGACCTCCGCTCAGGCGCGCATAGCGGGGACGGTTGAGACGTTCTACGGCGCGGCCGATCGTACGTCGGAGGGCGCGATGGCCGCACATGCATACAAGTCGGCCATCGAAGAGCTCGACCAAAGCATCTCCCGTGAATTCGTGCGTGCATCGCCTGCTCCCCCCCCCAGCATGGCTCATTGACCAGCGCCGCAGGAGGTCCCGTACCGCACAGCGATCTCGGAGCCCATTGGGAAGATGTGCGCGTATTTCCCGATTATCAACGAGCACATAAACAAGCGCGGGAAGAAGGTGAGGCGGGCGTGCTATGGGTGTATGACAGGGCGGGGACTGACGAGGGGATGTAGATGATCGACTACGATGCAGCCAGGGCAAGGTTGCGCAAGCTCATCGACAAGCCGTCGGAGGACCCGCAACGGCTGCCGCGCGCGCAGGCGGAGAATGATGAGACGAAGGAGGTGTGTGGTTCAGGTAGAAAGGGAGAGGTTGCCGAACCGACCAGTTCTTCTTACCAGGCGTTCGATCTGCTGAACAACCAGCTCATTGAGGAGCTGCCGATTTTGCTCGACCAGCGAATACCGTTTTTTGACCCCAGCTTCGAGGCGATGATTCGGTTGCAGGCGAAGTTCGCGGAGGAGGGGTATGAGAAGATGAGTGGGGTGCAGAGGTGAGACGGGCTGTTGGCGTTGTTCGACTTCGTGGCTCACGAACATCCAGGTACTTTGACGACAGCGTGCGGGATGACTACGCCGCTGGCCAGCTCGATGCACAGGTGAGATGGATTTCTTCATGCTCGTGCACGGCTGACGTGGGCCTTAGGTTGAGGGCGTGCTGCAGGAGATGCGGGAGCTCACGATCTGCGGTGGGCAGTAATGACATCTTTCTACCTCTGTCGGTTCCATGCAATGTACGATTATCATCGCGAATACCTTGTCTGACTGACTGCATATGATACCCCATAGGTAGGCTCGTGCAAGGGCGAGAGCTAGTCTGAAAGTCGGTTGTGGCACACCTATTCGCCGGACTTCACAAATCAATGCATCTCATATGCTGCTTCGAGCTGAGGCCCAAAGACATTGACCTTGTTACGCAGCAGAAGGACATCAGTATGACTGACACGACCGTGGGAATAACTCGGCCATTGTTCCTGCTTTGTGGCCGCATTCGGCCATCCCTTGTTTCGAACTTCCATGACCGCGTCCACCTCGGTCCATACGGCACCCACCACACAGCATGGGAAACGCAGGCACTGGACGTCGGACCCACGTCAGAGGGGTTCAACCGTGTTGAAATGATGGCCCATGGCGACTTGTATTATCGCAACAACGATTGGCGATCCGCGACTTGATAAATAGCGCGCTCGTCGCCCGCGCCTTTCCTTGGCTCTCTCCACCTGTCCGCACTCCGGCGCCCTCGGACATGAAGCACGTCGTCGCGTTCACTATCAGCGGTGGCTGGGGTGCGTTCAGGCGGTCCGTGATCATCGGTGACGACTGAACACCCACGCAGGCCATGCACGGCCCATGGTGGCCTTCTTGTGTCGCTTGGTGCAGCGCGCGCCGGTATTTGTGACCTTCATCGTATCCGCGGTCATCGAGGATCGCACGAAGAGCGAGGTCGATCGCTTCCTGACGGGGGAACATACAGACAAGAAGGAGCGGTTTAGGTGTGTGCATGCACCGAGCAGTCGTCTGTTTAGCTCACGCTGCGCGTCAGGCTGATATTCATACCCTCCGCAACGCCCGTACGCATGGTGGAGATGAAGCAGAATTTTGAGAAGGCGTACGGGCCCATCTTAGACGACCCCAACACCCGCCACCCTGATGTCATGGTCTGCGACGTGCGTCTTCATTCGTTTATTCGGCCAGACTTGCTGAATATTCGCAACAGACCATCGCCCACTGCGTGATTCAGAGCACGCGCGCAATGTCCCCCACGACGCGCATCGTTGGCTGGTGTGGGTACGGCGCCATCGCCATCTTGACGCTCGCCCAGATGTTTGAGGACAAGATAGAGGAACACTGGGCGCTCATCGAGAAGCGCGCGGCGGAAGATGGCGTGCGGCCCACTGACACAGCGAATGAACTCGTATTACAGTGCCTGCAAGACATCAATTACCTGCCTTATACAGTAATTGTTTCCCATCGCCCGCTCGCGCGCCTGCATGTCGTCTCTTCACCCCTGTTGACGGCTAGCGCATACATCGTACGAGGGCGAGAGGCCATATTGTAGTATATGTGAATCTCCAATGGCATATAATGAGGGAAATACGACAGCCGTGCTGTTGTCCGATCGCAACTAAGTCGGAGGGGTGCTCGACGATCATATACTTCTAAGCTCGCAAAATCTCGCAAAATCGTGGTCTTCTTTCACCATCTGTGTTAGAACATGCCGTAGTATATTCGACATCGTTTCTGAAGGTAAAAGAGAGGCGGCGGGCAGCCTGCGCGCGGGAGAGAGGGCGATGGGAAATAATTACCGTTTTAGGCAGGTAATTGATCTCCTGCAGGCACTGTAAATTCGGTAATTGGGAAGACGCTCGACGTGGCGGACCTCCCGCCGATGGCGGATTATGAGCTGTTCCCTCAGGTATGTCTGTTTTGCGTCCGTGAGTCGGCAGTGATGCTGAAGCACATGTTAGGAGGTAAACTGCGTTATCATCGAATGCGGTTCGACATCCATCTAACGAGCTTATCAACAGCCGCCAGTCTTCATGCCCTGGGATGTTCACTTTCACTCCATACGGTATGCTTTTAGCTCGCGCCCCCCTCGAATACTCACTCGTGCCTCATAAGCTCTGTGCCGACCTGCGATGCCATCGTCGCACCCTCTTGTCGCTCCGTAGAACCAAAGACCTGCGACGCGCTGCAGTCACGGCTGGCTCCCAACCACTTCTTCGCCGTTGGACCGCTGTTTCCGCCGTCGACGGAGGCGATTTTGCAAGCCGGAGTCGCCGAGGTCGCACAGTCAGAGGGAGGCGCAGAGATCGTCAGCTTCATGGACCGCATGCTCAAGGAACGCGGGGAGAAGAGTGTGCTGTATGTCAGTTGGGCAAGCACTGGAAGGTGGGCTGCGAGCTAACGTGACGGTTGCAGATCTCCTTCGGCTCGACGTTCTCGACGTTCATCGGGTTTGAGAAGGAGGTGATGTGGGCATGGTTCGATGTGGTGGCGGATATGAGGATACCTGTTGTACGTTTTACATGCTTCAGAGCCGTTGTCAATGTTCACTGACGGCCCATAGATTATTGCTTATCACAAAATGAGCGACCCACTCCCAGGGGATCTTAAAGCCAAGTTCGACGCCGGCGGGATCACACTGATCTCCTCTTGGACGCCCCAGCAGTATGTCCTCGCTCATCCGGTACGTGGTCGCCCGATCGTCCTTGATCAAATTACTGACCGACGCTCGCTCTCAGGCGACGGCTTGGTTCCTTACGCACAACGGCTTCGGCGGCACCAACGAGGCGCTCGCGGCCGGCGTGCCCACCATCTCATGGCCTATCTGTGCGGACCAGCCGCTATATGCAATGCTCGTGTCGCGCGTTCACAACACGGGGTACGAGCTTGACGAGGTGCGCCGCGGGTTCGGGCGGCGGCAACGGTTAAGCAATGGGGCGACGGCGTCGGGGACGCTGGAGGCAATCAGGGAGGAGGCGCGGCGGGTGCTGCAGTGGGCGTTCTTCGATGAAAAGAAGCGGAAGGAGAAGGAGACGAATGCAGCGAGGATGAAGAAAATGGTTGAAAGTGCGTGGGAGGAGGATAATGGGGTGGCGGTGAAGGATATGCGTCGGTTCGTTGACGTGTTTTTGAGTTGAGGTAGAAGCGGCTTTGGGCGTTGACGTTACTGAAAGTGAACCACGGTAGGCCCCTGTTAGTCGTGAAACATGACAAAGGATGACGCTCGTCTATTCGCTCAGCTCTGTCCTAATTTCTCATAGGTACGAGAATCTAGAACAACCAAGTGTCCTTGAACTTGTGTCCCACGACAGACAGTAGCACGCGCGACTTGATGGCCGATTCCGGGTGTGCTAAAATACCGCTAATAATGTGCATATATGATCTGGCCACCACACCTTACGCACATGTTATTGCCGTGTGTACTCGCCGTCTTCTGCCACTGAAGACAAAATATAGCATTCCCGGGATTGTTTTCACTTCTAGAGCAGCTCAACGCCTGCAAAGAAGCCATACGGGAGACCGGATTTGAGTCTCCAACGAGGCTATGCAGAGTACACTGCGGGTAACAGTTACACAGGACGGAGAGCGTCTTTTTCGAACACATCCCACGTGATCGTGAGTACGGCCGGGTGCGATGCAAATAGGGCCAAACACAATCAAATCTGCGGCGTCTTCGGAGAGTCTTCCTTCGAAACTCTCGACTCTGCTGTACATCTTTCGACCTCGACCATCATATCGACATACTGACTCGTACCAGTCGTGAATACGACGGATTCTAGATCTGTTTGGGTTCATCACTGCC